AATCTAATAGCTCTTGTCTCTCAGCAAGAGCTATTACCTCAGTTCCAATGTGATTTAACTCAGTAAGACAGTTTTCAAATCAGAGTTCATTTACCTGTAGTTGGCCCAGTCTCTTTTGCCCCTTGACAGAGCTCTGATACAGATGAAGGAAGGGTGTGAAGTCTGGACAGAATCCTTTAATAGGAGTGAAACCTGCTGCCCTTGTATGTATTGGTGATGGACAAGAACTGCCTCACCAGCTGCGCGTGCCCTGTGCCTACTGCTTGGCTGCTGCTGGCACCCAGAAATACTGGACAAATGTATTGTGCCGTGAGGTACTCCTGGCTGGCAAATCTCTCCTCAGCCTTTCCATTCTGAAACATGTATGCAGAGCAGGAGGCATTAGGAAGTGGCCACAGGTATAATTCTGTGGTTTCTCCTGTTCTCCCTTAAATCTGAACCCTCTTATCTTAACACATGCAACAAGAAAAGACAAAATTGTGAGCTCCAGGAAAGCACACTTCCAGACTGCTGGCTGCAGTGCCAGAAATCCTAGTGACAGGATACAAGGCAACAGCCTCAAATTACACCATGGGAGGTTTAGATTGGGTATCAGGAAGAATTTCTTTACAGAAAGGGTAGTTCAGTGTTGGTATGAGCTGCTCAGAGAGGTGGTGGCGTCACCATGCCTGGAGGTAGTTAAGAGATGTGTGGATATGGTGCCTGGGGTCATGGTTTCATAGTGGACTTGTAGTGTTAGATGGATGGTTGGACCCGATGATCTTAAAGGTCTTTTCCAAACTAAATTATTCTATTAAAAGGTCAGTCTGCACTACACAGAAAGGGCTCAGAAAATTCTGATAAGTCTCCTGCATTGTGCAGAGTAGAGAGAAATGAAGGCTGCTCACTTTTAACAGTTGCTTTTTCATTCTATTAGGGTACCTTTTTAGCACTTTTTGTTTGTTTGTTTTTGTTCTTTTTTAAAAAACACTTTCATTACCTGTTTTCTTTTCAGAAAGAAATAAGTATCTGGAAAATCCACACCAGCTGCTGAAGTTTACAATTTCTTTTTTCTTCCTCCTTTTTTTGTATTCAAATTAGCACTAGTGGCTTCCCATACCAAAAGCTTCCCAGCAGAAAGGCAGTTCCATGACTGACACTGTGCAAGGAAAGGCCAGCTGGTCTTTAAAGCCTGCACACAAGGCAGCGCACTACTGGCTCAATACTTACCTTAACTGTAGCTTAAAAGGCAGGCTCCTACATTTCTATGAAAAATCCAGGATACTTTACCAACAGCTTTAGAAAAAGAAAAGAGGTTTGAACGACTCAAGCAGTTGGACTCTTTTACTTGCCAGCGGTGCTGCAGGGCTTCCACGCAGCAGCTAAGAACATGGAACTACTGCCTCTACAGACAGCAGCAACTGAAGTTTACACACTACAAGGAAAAAAAAAATACGTTGCACAAGACTTCAGGAGAATGAGGTGGCAACAGAGGCACCACCAACTCAAATTCAAAGCTGCCAGAAAGTATGGCAGCTCCTAAAAGATCCCAAAATGAAATATACTGGGACAATGCACACTTAACCCCTTCCCCAGAGCAGATTTTGCAGCCCTAAGAAAAAAAGGGCAGAGTCTGCCAACTTACTCCATTCAAGTAACTGACAGAAGTCATTTTTGGTATAGCAGTATTGCACAAACAAATGAAAACATTAGCTTGCTTGTTGTATTTCTTTTCTGAGCTCTATGGAAACACTAAACGGAAACTCTTTCTCCTAATCCTATTGAGCTGTTGTGCATACTTGGTTATTTGTTTGCTCACTGGAGTATTTTCTATTCCAGTTTCTAACAGCTACACTCACTAAACCCAATGGTTCCTATAATCAGAACACAACCGAGATAGTGCACAAATAGAAATGCAGACTCCAAAGCATCCATGCTTACCACCAGCACACGGCGTAGCATGGAAATAATAAATGGCACATCAAAGACAGTTTCCCAGCTGTAAAAGATTCTCCTTTTTAATTCATCAGCTCATTCAACTGCCACATTACTTTGTTACAGTTCATATTCAATACAAAGTAATCACAAGTGTTTTACTGGACTAAATATGGAATAATTTGTAGCAATTTGATCCAGAAGACAATAATAAAGGCTTTAATATCGCCTTTTCTGCTATTAGAAAGCACTTTTATGATAAAAACAAAGTTTCTTGACTTTCAGTAATTCACCATTTGGTCCTAATGTACTTAGATCGAAAAAAAATCCTTGGAGGTTTCAAAAAGCTCAAAATAGAGAAACATCTGCTAAAATTTAGGTGCAGCTGTTTAGTGAAGAGGTCCAACACTAGAAAAGCCAGTACTTAAAGCTCCCTCTGTAATCAATAAAAACTCTATTAAAAATGTCAGGGAACTGCGTGAAATATTTGCCCAGGTTCAAAGTAATTTTTTATTTATTTTAAAGCACTGACATCTTTTGGTCATCAAAACTTGGAGGGACTTTCTAATTTAGTGTCACACAGGTGTTTCAGCCGAAGTCCAACAAGGCAAAATTCCAAAGAGGCCAGAGCCTGCTGTTTTTCCAAAGCAGAGGTAGTTTGGTTTCCAGAATCAAGAGCCCCAAAGCACGTTAACCAGTCTGAGTTTTGGTAAAGGAGGCCTGCTGTATTTCTGGCTTGGAGGTGACTGAGCTTTAGTGGTGATCAAAGCGACTCCATGTCAAGTCTGTTACCAGCTCTAGACTCTTTTTAAGAACTCAGCAGAGGTTTGTCTGTGGAGCACTTTACATAGCATTACTGCATTGCTCTACTGTTTGGAGAGAACCTGAATGATATTTACCTAGAAGAATAATCCACATGATGCTAGAATAACCAAGGCGGGTGACCAGACCCTCCTTATCCTTAGCAATGGTTTGGAGGTGTCCCCCTCTAACCTGTTCATTTTTAATTGAAATGAAAGGGCCAGACAGATCAGTTTGGCAGCAATATCATCAATCACTAAGCCTGTACAGAGGAGGTAACACTCCTGGTGAAAAGGACACGGACTGCTCAGATGAGAAAGTTGCATCTGCTACTGTACCGCAGAGCAATCAGAGCATACCAGAAAACACAGTGAAAGCAAAATACAGGAGACTCAACATCTCCCTGGCTAATGCTATCTAGTGCCTGTGAGTACAGTGCAGATGACAAAATTAGCTAGCTGGTACATAGCGGTGAATAGAGTTCAAGGCTCTATTTCAAAAAGCAGCAGCAGCACTACACCCTTCACCAGTTACCCAAGTCAGCACAACTGGAGCAAATTTGTACCTTACAGCCTGTCAAGTTTCAGATGCTGTCTCCTCAGTATTTCTCACGTGGTTTGTACAGCTCCAAGCACTTGTTCAACATCACTGGAATAATGATAATAATGCAGTAGTGTGTTTTTAAAAAATAAGATAAAACATGGATAGTCTTATGCTTGTAATGGAAGAGTGAAAAGGAAGGATTCAAAAACAGTATTCACAACTGTAACATTGGTACCCAAAACCTCAACATGCTCAAAGATTTAGGTAGGTCTTGATTCCTCATAATTCTTGGGTTGGAGAACCTGACTGATCGCATCACAAATTTATTAAAAATAAAAACCACAAACTGCTTTCACCCTTTGGAGTTAGGAAGCTGAGGTTGTGCATGACAACTACTAGGAGTCTATAGAAGGTAATAAAACAAGGCGGAAGAGAGCAAACTGCACACAAGCTGTGGAGAAACTTTCTGAGCTGAAAGTGACGTGACTGCACATCTTGTGGGCAGTCCCTGTGCCTTCAACAACATGGCCATGGACACGGCCTCTTCCTTCCACCTTCCTTAGATTGAGGTTAGAAGGACTTTGTAATACTAATATTTATGTCACCCTCCTGCATTTTAGGAAAACGTTGACCTAAAGCACTAAGTGCATCTTGGAAACAGGTGTGTACTTCTGTCTCTTGTAAAAGATTTGCACTTCCCCTATTAGACCTCCTCAAAAAAGTTGTTCAAGCATTAAAGTGAGAGCCACTCGTTAAATTTGGAAATGTGTTCCCTACCACACAAAAGACAAAACCAAGAACAAACCCCACAGTCCCAGCTGTAACAGAACATACTAGGGTAACATTTCTTTATCAGAGCACAAGAGAACCATAGAATGGTTTGGGTTGGAAGGGACCTTTAAGACCATCTAATTCCAACCCCCTTACCATGGGCATGGACACCTCCCACCAGATGAGGCTGCTCAAAGCCCCATCCAGCCTGGCCTTTAAGACTTTCAGGAATGGGGCATCCACAACTACTCTACACAACCTGTGCCAGTGCCTCACCACCCTCCTAAGTAAGGAATTTCTCTAATATCTAAATCTACCATCTTTTAGTTTAAAACCATTACAGTTCCTGTAAACTACAGTTTTCCAAATTATAAGATGTTTAGCCACAATGCATAGACATCAAAACCTTTTCCTTTGCATTGTCACTTGAAACACATATCTTCCCAAGTCTTCCTACAAAAGAAGAATTTTCTCAAGAGCTACATTTACAGCTCAGGGATGTTACAAAACCATACTCAAAGCAGGTCTGCCCCAAAACAACCATTTTCCTTTTACCACACAAGATTCATGAGCTGGCAGCTTAGATACATGAAAGATTAACTTCTGTACAAGGAGTAACTTAAGTAGATGAGGACTTTCCAGGTGGGAAATCAGAAAATGGGGGCGGGGAGATTTGAAATCACAGGGAACATAAAAATTAAAGTTTGCTCCTTTGTTCCACAGTGTAAGAACTAAGGAGCTTCAAGTGAAACTTCTGGGGGAGCACTAAACCCAGGCAGAGACAGTAGTTAACAACACACAGTTTGCCTCTGGAACTTCTTGCTGGAAGACCTCATGGACACTCGTAGCTTCTTTAAGTTCAAAAAGCAAGCAGATAAATTCATGTGGCTCAGGAAGGCTCTGAGCCACAAATGGGTAGCAGTAATGATTGTGAAGAATGTCACCATGCACTTGTCTGTTCCTATACTCACCTCAAGTATCCATCACTGGCCCGCACTGAAGACAGCAAAAGCTCAAGGGACTTTTCATCTCTCCTGGTACAATCCCATGCTGATGAATTCCCTTCAGGGAAAACCAGTGAAAGAATGGAGAGAGCTAGAGACATCCAGGTGAAATTAAGTATTTCTTTGCTGACTGTTCAGGTTAACAGCAAGGGACTGCGGCAACATTTTTTAATTATTTGGGTCAAAAGAAAATGGCTTGTCACGGTTAGCTTTACTGCTGAACAACGCGCATCTGTGAGTGCAAACACTACCCAGAATATCCAAGTGACTTTTAAAAGACTTTTATGGATATTCCACTCTCAAAGGATGCTGGACGAGATCAATGGACGCCAACTGAGATCATTATGTATGACTTACCTTGCCCATTTCCTTCCCTTTCTGCCTTTGAGGCTCTTTTAGTGCACTGAATGTCTTTCTGGGGAATTTCATTTAATATCTTGGCAGCATACTCAATTCCTCCTGTCAGATCCTTGAGGCAGTCCTATAAATAAAGGGCAGAATGCTTTATTACTAGAGTCAGCAAAAGAATTGTGCACAATGATGTCCTTACTCATACCACAACGTTATTAAAATGTGCACACAGTTTCTGTGGTTCAAAAGCAAAGAGTCAAGCAATTGTAACTTCATGGCTTCAGTTCCCTCTTCTCCTAGATATACGCCTAACACTTTGTATTTTGAATTCTGCTCCACATGAGCTGCCACCTCTGCCTCCTCCACGTCTGTTCTCTCACTGAGGCCCACATCTCACTGCTCTTGCATGGACCTTCACATTCACTTGGTTTGTTTAATACTGATACAGCAGTAGTGCCAGAGGCTTCCGAGAGCAAACTGCAGGCTGCAGCACACAGCAGCCTGCTAAGACACAGCCCAACGTTACAGGAAGAGCTCAGGACTCCAACTTAACATTTTCAGTTCTAGTTGCCCTTGCATGCTAACATGCACGAGACCTGGAAGAAGTCCTGCAGGGTCCCCATTCCACGTCCACCAAAACTTCCACAGCCTGTTACTGTAGAACAGTGGCCTCATAAAAAGTAAAGTAAAATAGGAAGCAGGTCATTCATTGCTGAATGTACTAATTTAAAACTAGCCTACTTCAAAAGACTTCAAAGTACTTGCTAGTGTTATGGAACAATCCGTTCAGGGATGACTTACAGACACACATTGCAGCCAGACTTGTGATTTTATCATGACGCTCATCCGATTTGTGCACTCTATACCCATGGGCTTACATGAGCACGCAAGAATTTTAGTATTTACTTTTTTAAAAATGGGATATTTCTAACGTGAAGAAAGCTCTAAAATAGGACCAAATGTTGCTATTTCAGCGTTTGGGAACTGCAGTCCTAACATCAAAAACATAACCAGTTTTGAACTGGGCAAACAGAGAGGAAGAAAGGAGACTAGCTCCACTCTATGAGATTTTGTGAAGTTGATCCTTGCTAGAAAGGAAGATGTTGATTGCCAACGTTGTTTCATTTTATGGCAGAGCAACATACATTTCACCTAAACTCAGCCTTTTGAATGGGATGTAATTCCTCCAGGCTCCCTCTTTATGATGGCAAATACCTACAAAAGAGTGAATTATCATTAAACGCACAACGACAGCCTGCACACTGCTCTCCCCTTCTCATTCTAGCTGCAGTTGCAAGTAAGACCCACATGGTCGGAGCACTACTCTCACCCTTATTCCTGCCCTCTTGAGCTCCCCTCCTCAACAAAACAGAGGAAGTCGTACCTTACAACAGTTTTATGGGAGATGAATAATATTCAACCAGCAATAAGTCTACACTCCATTAACCAGAGTATCTGTATTTCTGAATGCAGACTTGGGGAAAGACCCATTTAATTAACTGCTGGGCTCATTTCTTGGAACAGGAGGGGGACTGGATATGGACGCATGCAGGTGCTGCCTGCCCAGCTTCTGCTCACAGCGACTCTTAGCCACGGAGCAGATGGGAGGTGTTATAAATGCCTCTGCTATGGTGTGTGTTGGCAGTGAAACAGAGGGATGTTGCAAATGATGGATCTTCTTGAAGACCTAAGAAGCTTTTTTTTTTTTTTTTTTTTTTTAAAACAGGTATCAGGCAGTACTAGAGCAACAATTCTACTTTGAAGGAAAGTGAAAAAATTCCTCCTCCGTTTAAGGACTTGATGATCCTTAAGGGTCCCTTCCAACTCAGGATATTCTATGATTCTATGATTCTAAACCCAGTGCATTTCTGTATTTTAATACAGTTGCTCTTCTTAGGCAAGATAACTCAGTTCCACATACCTTGTACACAAAAACAAGGCCATGCAAGACAGAATATTGGCATGCCTTTCACTTCAGCCCACCTCCAGCCCTACAGTAACCAGTTATCTCCTCCTGCAAATGTATTAAGTTTTATTTCTCAACTGCAGAGATTCTGCTTCTAAATGCTGTATTAAACTAGGCTATCCCTCTTAATAAAGTGTTCATGTAGGCCAGAACAAAGGTTTCAAATAATAAAATTACTGCTGGTCTAGAGTTGTAGCTGATACAATTCAGTATCACTCCACTAGGCCTTATTCACTTCACTGTTTACTCAGTAAAACTCATCCTGCTAAGATCAGTCATCAGCTTTTTCAATATGCACTACAACATCTAAATTTTGAATTTTTAATAGCAGGTTTCTGTGAGGGCTTCAGTTTTAATAAAACTGAAATTGTAGTTACAAAGTTCAAGTAGGCTTCACTTATGCGCACAGGCAATTTTTATCACATAGTCATGGGGAACACGAGCAGTTGTAAGCATTATGACCAGAAATATGATTTCATCTATACTAAGGCCAGAATCAAAAGAACTTGCGATTATTGCAGTAATAGAACCAGCAGCTGCCATCCATTAACACAAATCAAAATGTGAGAAAATAAAAAGTGCCATTACACGTGGTTTCTAATTATTACAAGCCACTCAATAAACCTACAAAAAGTGACATTGTTATTTGAACTGCATCCAGCTTAGTTTCATGCCTGTTATGTAGGTCTGTAGCAAAAATGCAATGAACTGTACACTTCATAGCAAAAAGAAATCTTCTGACTGGACATCTGTTGGTGGCACACAGAAACTCTGGTTTCCATTTACCTACAGAACAATAAAAACAGAGCCTGAGGTCTCAAGAAAGAAAAAAAAAAAAACAACAAGGTTTGTAAAGTGACTTCTTTAAATTGGTCTGAATAGCCAAAAAAATAATGCAGATGCAACACTAAATTGTGCATCAAAAAGCAAATCAAAGATCTATTTAGCAGCTCACAAACACAGGTATTAAACTTGGAAAAGGAGGACGTTCATGCAGTCCTAATAGGTATTTTATCTGATATACACACAATTCTCATTCATATACATAGAAATGAATTGTGTGTGTATATCAAACTAAGGACATACAGTTTCATAGTCAAGGATTAAGCTAGCATTGTGGGACAGACCGCCTTTAGGCACATTAAGGGAAAAAGAAAAACTCTATAAAATCATACATTATGCATTTTTAAATACAAGCAGGCAGTAACACTCCTCACTGTCTTTGAACAGGTATCAATGTCAAATGCAGGGCTGGAATGTCATCGCTGCTGGCAGGGCACTACTGTGAGGACACTCAAGTATGCAGCGGTCCCACTGACACCATCAGGTGTTGTTTATGCATGATCCAAGTCTGGATGTCAAGGCAAAACAGAAGGAGCCAGCAGGGAATATACCGCAGAAGAATGGGGTAAGAGGAGAAGCATTAGCTACAGATACTAATAAAAACGAGAACATTTTTACTTCTCTCTTTCAAAAGGGAGCTTATACAAAACTAAATTTTACTGTAAATGGGAATGATCCTGACATTAAAGAGTTGACATTTAGGCTATACACACACTTACGAAGAGCTTAAAATTGGAAACACATTCCTATAATATTCAGTATCCACACACAAAAAAAATCTTAACCCCATTGTTTAAACCAAGTTTTGCTCCAATCTGCCAAAACATGGGACCATTTTGATAGACAAAGCCAACGGAAAACATACACATAAGTAGTTCTCACTTTTTAAAATGAGGTGACCTGCACAATACTTCTAGCTTCACAGTCCATACATGCTTTTGATTTGAACCACAGAACAGCTTTGAGGAAAAAAAGTAACATATTTTAAAAGACTAGATATCTCTGAAACCAGTCTCAGAAAGCATTCGAGTACTTTCCCAGAGGCTTCTTTCACTGCACAAAGAAGCTAAACCCACGGTGCCCAAACACTCTCCTTTTCAGATGAGAAATATCACTGTGCAAAGCAGTTCTGCTGCTGGGCAATCACACTGTATTTCAGGAGATCTGAATTCCAACTTCTCTTTTCCCACTCTAGACTCATGCTCCCCCAAGGGAGCTACAGTAAATTACTTGATTTCTTCCTGACTTCACTTCCCATAAGTAGATAAAAATATTTCTTTGGTTCCCCTCTGTGCCTACTGATTTGGATTTCAAGGTGTGCAGATTTTTAAACTACATCTGCGCAGCACTCTTCCTGTACTGTTTGATTCCCATTGATCTGTGCTAATGACAAAGCATATAAAAACCTCCACAAGCTAAAAGAGAACTGATAGGGGCACATCCAGGTTTATGCTTGCAATGGAACCAGCACTGTTTACACCCAAATGCAAAACTGGAGAGCCTGGGCCGGGGAGATGCAGCATATAACTGCTACAATGACCATTCGTACTGTAGGCAGAGCCTGCCTCTCCTCTGAATTTGTAGGATGTGGAACAAGGAAAGCAAAGTGCTAGGGCTTTATGAAATGGTTACAAACCTCTTTAGTTACAAATGTTGTTCTACTAGGTGACCATAAACAATAAATACGCATTCACTGATGTAGCAGAGCACACCACATCAGATGGCCACGAAGTCACAGCGTTGGTGTAAGCATGCTTCACTCTCAGGTAAAGCACACCAATGCATTCACTTGACTGATTTCCCCTTATCAAGGCAACATTTGCCTTCCGTAATCATGAGACATACACTGACAAACATAAGATCCAAGACTAGGTGCAGCATAGGGTACATGTTTAGTGGAATCAAACTAGATGAAGTACTACAATCAGCCTTTAAACCTGGCCACAGAGCAATTGGTTGAATTATTTGCATGAAACCAGTGCTATCTTGGGACACTTTCAGTTCCCCCCCTTTGCTAAAATTCACAAGAGTCCTCATTAAAGATATGAAGGTGCATTAAATGAAGGCAGAAATTAGAGCTAATTTTAAATATGCACTGGTTTAGCAGAGCCTTGTAATCTGCCCAGGTGCATTACACTTGTGATTTCCTTAATGTTTCTTTAATGATTTTGGAAGGCAATTCTCTGCTGCATTGCAAACCAGTTTTGTTCAGACACATTCAAGTTTTCCCACAGTGGAGTAAGCAAGTTATCAAGAGAACTAATTAGCTTGACCTTCTATTTGCCCAGTAATGAGAAGTGCATCAAACAGGTCTCTCTTTT